CTGCAGGTCCAGCTCGTTCCTCACACCCACCTTCCAGGCCCAGTTCTTGGAAGCCTTTTGGCAGCCCCTCCAGGCCCAGCTCACGCCTCTCACGGCCTCTGCAGGCCCAGGTGCTGCCTCCCGGCGTCCTCTCCGGGCCCAGCTCTCCCCCTGGCTGCGTCACAAGCCCGGCTCCTGCCTCCCGTCCCGCCTCTCCAGGCTCGGCCTCTGCCTCCCTCATGGCGGCCTCCCCAGGCCCAGCTCTTCTTCCTCGCTGGGTCTACAGGCTCAGCTCCCGCCTCGCAACAACCGCGTCTGTCCCAGCTCCCGCCCAGCTCCCAGCAGCCTCTGTAGACTTTAGTCTTTTTCAAGTCGGGCTTTCAAGGCCTTCCTTCGGCCTCCTGGTGGCCTGCACAGACCCAGCTCCTGCCCGGCCACAGCCTCTTCGGCCCAGCTGTTCCCTATACGGGCCTTTTCTGGCCCTGTTACTACCTGTTTTTCAGCCATTTGGGCAGGCCTCGCGTTTGCCTCGCAGTGGCCCTTCAGCCCCATCCTCTGTGTCATGTCTGCCTCTCAAGATTCAGCTGTTTCTTCATGGCAGCCTTTCCTATACCAGCCTGTGCCCACCACGGCCTCCCCAGGCTCGTCTCCTGCCTCTTCGTGGTTTTCTCTGCCCCGCACGTCCTCACAGCGGCCTCCTCCGGATCCGGCTCTACAGGCCTTAGATCGTCAACAGCATCAAAAAGCCCAAAGCTTCCCTGGACGCTCCTTTGTTCACTTTTCAGCGGTGTGCCTTGGCTGAACACCTGTCTCTACTTTCAACCTGGAGAGTGTATTTCTGACAGATTTGTAGTCAATTCTGCCGTGTCTTTTTACAGTGACGCCTCTTATTTAGTGTCTCATGGTTTTTTTTTTTGTCTTCTGGGCGTTTGGAGGGCAACGGGCCTCTGCTTGGGCTGTTTGTCTGTGCCCTGGACACGGTAGTGTCTCATTTCATGTCTTCCTTTTTTATATTTTTACAGTTAATTTTTTTTCCTTAGGGTCTTGCTCTGTCACCCAGGCTGGAGTGTCATCGTGTGATCGTGGCTCCTCGGCAGCCGTGAGCTTTTGGCCTCCACTCACTTTCCCAGGCCAGTTTGAAACTCCTGGGCTGAAGTGATCCTCCTCCCTCCACCTCCCGCTATGCTGGGATTACAAGTGTGAGCCACCACACCTGGCCTGCCATTCTCTTTCATTGGGGCATTAAGAATTTACCTTTTAATTAGTATACTATAAATAAATATGGAGATAAGTGTGTATATACGTTATATGAAGATATGTTAACTAAAATAAGCCAGACACTGAAAGACAAATTTTACGTGCTCCCAGTCATTTGTGAGTGCTAAAAATTAAAACAATTGACCTCATGGAAATAGAGAGTAGAATGATGGTAACCAGAAGCTGGGGAGCAGGGTGGGCTGGAGGGGGTACACAGGAATATTTAACAGGTACAAAAATACTGTTAGAACAAATAAGATGTAGTAGTTGGTAGTACAACAGAGTGACAATGGTAGACAATAATTTATTGTATATTTTTAAATCACTTAAAGAGGCTGGGGTGGTGGCTTATGCCTGTAATTCCAGCACTTTGGGAGGCTGAGGCAGGAGGATCACCTGAGGACAGGAGTTCGAGACCAGCCTGACATGGTGAAACACTGTCTCTACTAAAAATACAAAAATTATCCTGGCTCGGTGGCGTGCACCTGTAGTCCTCACTACTCAGGAGGCTGAGGCTGGAGAATCACTTGAACCTGGGGGAATGGGGTGGATGTTGCAGTGAGCCGAGATTTGCACCACTGCACTCTAGCCCAGGAGACAGAGCTACATTCCATCTCAAATAAATAAATAAATAAATAGGGAAAAGAGCATAATTGAATTGTTTGTAAAACAAAAAAAGGATAAATGCTTAAGGTGAGGGGTATTCCATTTACCCTGAGGTGACTATTACACATTGCATGACTGTAACAGAACATCTCATGCACCCCATAAATATGTACACCTGCTATGTACCCACAAAAATTAAAAGTAAAGCATTAAAAAAACCCAATCTTGGCCAGATGTAGTGTACAAACCTGTAATTCCAGTGCCTTTTGAGGTCATAATGGGAGAATCACTTGAGCGCGGCAGTTTGAGACCCACCTAGGCAACACAGCAAGACTCTCGTCTCTAATAATGAAAAAGAAATTAGCCAGGCCTGGTGGGGCTTATGCCTGTAGTCCCAGCTACTTTTGAGGCTGAGATGACAGAATCCCTTGAACCCAGGAGTGGTTGAGGTTGCGGTGAGCTATGATTGTCCCACTGCACTCCAGCCTGGGTGATAGAGTGAGACCATGTCTCTCTCTTTTTTTTTTTTTTTTTTTTGAGCTGGAGTTTTGCTCTTGTTACCCAGGCTGGAGTGCAATGGCGCGATCTCGGCTCACCACAACCTCCGCCTCCTGGGTTCAGGCAATTCTCCTGTCTCAGCCTCCTGAGTAGCTGGGGTTACAGGCATGCACAACCATGCCCAGCTAATTTTTTGTATTTTTAGTAGAGACGGGGTTTCACTATGTTGACCAGGATGGTCTCGATCTCTTGACCTCGTGATCCACCCGCCTCGGCCTCCCAAAGTGCTGGGATTACAGGCTTGAGCCACCGCACCCGGTCGAGACCATGTCTCTTTAAAAAACAAACCAATCCCAGCGTGACCTGACGCTGCCTGCCACCTCTATTCTTTTCCTCTTGCTCATTTGCATCGGGCATCTGGGCTTCTTTTCTGCTCCTGTGGATGCCAAGCGGTTTCCTCCAGGACCATTGCACATGCTCTTCCCTGCCCGAAATGGACTTCCCACACCTCCCGCCACAGCTGGATTTTTCTCATGTTTTCTCATGTTTCAGACCTCAGTTCACGCATCACCTCTGCGGAGAAATTCTCCCTCACCCTGTGAAGGGGGCTCATCCTCCTCTGCACTGCCTCGTCCCGCCTGGTTCTCTCAAAGCAGGTATCACACTCAAAAATCAGCTTGTTATTTACTGAACTGCTTGTCTGCCTGTTCTCCTCCCCAACTCACGCCGAATCAGAACAGAAGCTCCAGGATTCTCATCTTGTTCATTCTCAGAACCTAATCTAGTTATTGCACATAGTGGGCACACAATCAATGTTGTTAGAATGAATAAGTATGAAGGGGCCGGTCGAGGTGATTTTAAATTTCATAGGTGAAATGGCATGATTGCCGCCTAGTGGCCACGTCTGTAACTGCAGCTGTCAGAGCTTTTAGAGCATTTGGGAAGGTTTCCTCCTGGACTTGTCCATGGTAGGAGCTAGAGCAGCAATCCAGATCTGGTTCTTCTGTATCTCTGTATCTCGGCTCACTGCAACCTCCACCTCCTGGGCTGAGGCAATTCTCCTTCCTCAGCCTCCCGAGTACCTGGGACTACAGGCATGCACCACTGATTTTGTATTTTTAGTAGAGACGGGATTTTTCCATGTGGGTTAGGCTGGTATCAAACTCCTGACCTTAGGTGATCCGCCTGCTTCAGCCTCCCAAAGTGCTGGGCTTTTGTTTGTTTGTTTGTTTGTTTTTAGAGACAGGGGTCTCATTACTCTGCCCAGGCTGGACTCGAACTCCCGGGCTTAAGTGATCCTCGTGCCTCAGCCTCTTGAATAGCTGGGGCTACAGGTGCACTTCACTGCGTGATGTTCAAACTTTAAGGATCATATGAATGCCTTGGGGAATTATGATTAGCAGGTGTGGGATAGAGTGGGAGCCTTCATTCTAACAAGCATGATGATTCTTCTGATTCATGCATCACTTTGGGTAGCAGGCTCTAGTTTTTCTGAAGAAAAGAAAAGAAGTCATTAAACTTGCTTGGTAAAAAGACAAACTAATTTTTTTTTTGAGACAGGGTTTCGCTTTATTGCTCAGGATAAAGTGCAGTGGTGCAATCACAGCTCACTGCAGCCTCGAACTCCTGGGTGTGCAATCCTCTAGCTTCAACCTCGTGTGTAGCTGGGACCACAGGTGCACACCACCACACCTGGCTAATTTTTAAATTTTTGTGGGGATGGGATTTCACTATGTTGCCCAGGCTGATCTCAAATTCCTGGCCTCAAGTGATCCTCCACCTTCAGCCTTCCACAGCACTGGGATTATAGACGTGAGCCACTACCCAGCCAGAATTTTACATACTTTTAATTGGTCATAGAATCTTCTTCTCTTTTAAAATTAATTTTTTTCTTTTTCCTTTTTCTAGTATCCAGAATCTATTATATTCTGGAAGAAGATATTCTTTTTCTTCTTCTTCTTCCTTCTCCTCCTCCTCCTCCTTCTTCTTCTCCCTCGATGGAGTCTCATTCTGTCACCCAGGCTGGATTGCAAAGGCATGATCTCGGCTCACTGTAGCCTCCGCCTCCCAGGATCAAGTGATACTTCTGCCTCGGCTTCCCAAGTAACTGGGATTACTGGTGCCTACCAGCACACCTGGCAAATTTTGTATTTTTAGACTGGGTTTCACCTTATTGGCCAGGCTGGTCTCAAACTCCTGAGCTCAGGTCATCTGCCCACCTTGGCCTCCCAAAGTGCTGGAATTACAGGCGTGAGCCACCGTGCTCGGTAATATCTTTTTTTTTTTCCAACCATTTAAAAATGTTAAAATTGTTAAGCTCTGCAGGCCATGTAAGAACAGATCACAGGCAGGATTTGGCCTTGGGGTGTAATCTGCAGGTTTCTTCTCTGGACTCTGAATGCTAAACTATGTCTTGTTCTCGTCAGGGTCCGGCGCTCTGGGATGGGTTCACTGCTGGAATCTTGGCTACCACGTCTTGCCAGCTTTACTTTTGAAGCTTTAACTTTCCCTCCGTGAAAAAAAAAAGGTGTGAAACTATTAGGTTGGTGCAGAAGTCATTGCTGTTTGCCATTACTTTCAATGGCAAACTGGAAATTACTTCCGCACCTACCTCGTAGGGCTGTTGTTTAAACTTTATTGAGACTGTGCATATAAGGGAGTTAGGGTTGTTTAGATAATAAATCTTGGTTGTCATCATCATTACTGGCATCACACTGATCCTCAGTAAACAAATCCGTGCAACTTAGATCCTTCATCATTTTCTCCAGTTCCAGCCCAGCGTCCCTTGACCAGAACACGTGGTCAGTCGTAAACTTGAGAGGGTGTATTGGGATATTGGGACACGGTCTTTTTTTTTTTTTTGAGATAGAGTCTCACTCTGTCACCTAGGTCACCCAAGCTGAGGGACAGTGGTGCAATCTCGGCTCACTTCAACCTCTGCCTCCTGGGTGCAAGCAATTATCCTGCCTCAGCCTCCAGAGTAGCTGGGGCTACAGGTACCCACCACCACACTTGGCTGATTTTTTGGCATTTTTAGTAGACACGGAGTTTCACCATATTGGCCAGGCTGGTCTCAAACTCCTGACCTTGTGATCCACTCGCCTGGTACTCAGTGATGGGACACAGTCCTTATAGGTTGCTGACATTTCCTAAACTAACTGTATTTGTTTTCTAGGGATGTTGTAACAAAGTACCACAAATCAGGCTGAGTGTGGTGGCTCACACCTGCAATCCCAGCACTTTGGGAGGCTGAAGAGGGCAGATTGCTTGAGCCCAGGAGTTTGAGATGAGGTTGCACCTGAGCTGTGATTGCACCATCATACTCCAGCCTGGGTGGCAGAGTGAGATACTGTCTCTCTCTCTTTCTCTCTCTCTCTCTCTCTCTCTCAAAAATAAATAAATAAATAAAAAGTCCATAAACTAGGTAACTTACACAATAGAAATTTGTTGTCTTACAGTTCTGGAGGTTAGGAGTCCAACATCGAGGTGTCAGGCTGGTGCGGTGACTCATGCCTGTAATCCCAGCACTTCGGGAGGCCGAGGCGGAGTTTGAGACCAGTCTGGCCAACGTGGTGAAATCCTAAACACCACAGAGATATTCCTCAAGAAGAGCAACCCCAAGGCATATAATCATCAGATTCACCAGGATTGAAATGAAGGAAAAAATGCTAAGGGTAGCCAGAGAGAAAGGTCAGGTAACCCACAAAGGGAAGCCCATCAAAATATGGCCACATTCTGAGGTCCTTGAGATTAGGACTTCAACACATCCTTTTTATTTTACTATTATTATTACTTTTACAGACAGGGTCTCACTCTGTTGCCCAGGTTGGCATGTGGTGGTGCAATCATAGCTCACTGCAGTCTCCATCTCCTTGGCTAAAGAGAGCCTCCTGCCTCAGCCTCCTGAGTAGCTAAGATGACAGGTGCACTCTATCTATCTATCTATCTATCTATCTATCTATCTATCTATCTCCCAATTACATCTATCTATGCTGTCGCTCTCTGTCTCTGTCTCTATCATCTGTCTGTTGATCTATCAATCTATCATCTATTATCTATCGATTGATCAATTGATCTACCTACCTATCTCATCTATCTATCCTGTCTGTCTATCTATTTATCTAGCTATCTATCCATCCATCCTATCTATCTATCCATCTATCACTCTATCTATGTGTGAATGAATGACAGATCTTGCTCTGATTCCCAAGCTGCTGAAGTGTGGTGGTGCAATCATAGCTCACTCCGATCATTGAACTCCTGGGCCCAAATGATCTACCTGCCTCAGCCTCCTGAATAGCTGACACTACAAGTGTGCACCACCATATCTTGCTAAAATGATTTTCTTCGTGGAGATAGGGCCTCTGAATGTTGCCCAGGCTGGTCTCAAACTCCAGGCCTCAAGCGATCGTTCTGCCTTGGTCTCCCAAAATGCTGGGATTACAGGCTTGAGCCACCACACCCATCCTTTGTCAATACTAAGGTGAGTGTAGCCACATGTCTTGTTTTCAACTACTCTTATCCACCTAGCAACCCTAAACGCCTGATCCCCCAGAGGGGCTGATTTCAGGCCACTTTGATCTTTGCTATTCTGATCTTCATGGGGAAAATGCAGGCCTTCCCTTTGGGGGCCCATCCACTTTGTTCATCTCCTTAAGACACATTTACCACATAGTACTGGAAGGATTTATTCCTTGTCTGTATTCCCAGCGAGGGGATGGGATGCTCTCTGTGTCCCTAGCACCCAACAGTGATCCTGGAACATGATAAGCATCCAATAACTGTTCTGCCCTAGGACAGGGGGACGGTCGCTTTGCTGATGGGCTTCCCCAGGGCCTCTTCATGTCCTTGTTCCGTAGGCTGTAGATAAAGGGCTCAGCATGGGGATGACCACCCCACACATGAGGGCGGATGCCTTGTCCTGGGAGGAGCTGGGGGATGCAGGCTGTAAGTACACAGCAAAGATGGTTCCGTAGCACAGGGACACCACAGTGAGGTGTGAGCCACAGGTGGGTAAGGCTTTCCACTTGCCCCGAGCAGAAGGGATCTTAAAGACTGTCCAGAAAATGCGGATGTAGGAGAGAAGGATGCAGGAGAGTGGGCAATGCCCGTGACGACGCCAGAAGCCAAGATCACCAGCTCATTGGTGTGCGTGTCTGAGCAGGAGAGCTTCAGCAGGGGCATGAGGTCACAGAAGAAGTGGGAGAATTCGGAGCCGGCACAGAAGGTAAGTTGAACCATGAGGCAGGTGTGTACGAGAGACTGGATGTTGGTGATCACCCACGGTGCCCCCAGCAGCAGCCCACAGACACGAGGGCACATGGGGACCAAGTAACAGAGCGGGTGGACAATGCCACAAAGCGGTTAATGGCCATTGCTGCCAAGAGAAAGCTGTCCATGGTCCTGAACAGGTGGAAGGCGTACATCTGGGTGAGGCAGCCCACTAAGGGGATGGCTCTGCTCTGAGTCCTGATGGATGTTCACTAGCATCTTGGGGACGGTGGTGGAGGATCGTAGGATGTCAACGAGTGACAGGTTGGACAGGAAGAAGCACATGGGCGTGTGGAGGCAAAAGTCCGTGAGGATGGCCAGGATAACGAGGACATTTTGGATGATGGTGACCAGGTATGTGGAGAGGAACATTGTGAAGAGGAGGGTCTGATGCTCTGGCTTTTCTGAGAGTCCCTGGAGGAAGAATTCTGTGATTTTGGTTTGGTTTTCTAGTTCCGTGTATGGTCTGTGTCTAGTGGGAACAAAAAGGGAGAGAAGCCATATAGAGCCAGGGGTCAGAGATGCCATTCTGGTCCCAGCTTCCCACGGAAACCTATACTGTTCTGTGAAAATGCCATCATATCCATCAAGTTCCTTTGTGTTTGGTTATCCTCAAGCCATTTTCAGGGGGCTTCTGTTGCCTCTCAAGCCAAGCTGTTCATGCCTGAGGCAGTCAGTGTTCTCAAGGACCTAATGGACCTGCTCATAGTCAAAATTGGCTGTTCTCTATAAATACTTTTGCTTCCTTCAGTGGAGCAAAGCTTCATAGAAAACAAAACCAAGTGGCTCATGCCTGTAATCCCAGCACCTGGGGAGACCGGGGCGGGCAGGTCACCTGAGGTCAGGAGTTCAAGATCAGCCTGGCCAACATGGTGGAACCTCGTCTTTATGAAAAATACAAAAATATTAGCTGGACGTGGTGGCGGGCCCCAGTAATCCCAGCTACTCAGGAGGCTGAGGCAGGTGAATCACTTGAACCTGGGAAGCAGAGGTTGCAGTGAGCCGAGATCGCACCACTGCACTCTAGCTTGGGTGACAGAGCAAGACTCCATCTCAAACAAACAAACAAACAAACAAATGAAAATCAAGCAGAATCAAACCCAACCAAAATCCTATAAAGTAAAAGGAACCTTACAATCTTCTGTTTTTCCTTCTCTTCCTTTCCTGCTATCTTTCCTTCTTCTTTTTTCTTTTTCTATTTTCGAGTCAGAGTCTTGGCTCTGTCACCCAGGCTGGAGTGTGGTGGTGCCATCTCAGCTCACTGCAACCTCCGCCTCCTGGGTTCAAGTGATTCTTGTGTCTCAACCTCCCAAGTAGCAGGGATTATAGGCACACACCACCACCCCTGGCTAATTTTTGTATTTTTTCATAGAGACGGGGTTTTACCATGTTGGCCGGGCTGGTCTCGAACTCCTGACCTCAAGTGATCCACCCACCTTGACCTCCCATAGTGCCGGGATTACTGGTGTGAGCCACCATGCCTGGCCAGCTCCCTCTTTTTTTTCCTCCCCGACCCTCTTTCCTTTTCATCCTTCCACCAACGATATGTAATTTTAACATCAGTTTTGTGTTAAAAACAGATAAATGGATAAAGAAAATGTGGTAGGAATACACAATGGAGTACTATTTATTCAGCCTCAAGAAAAGAGGAAATTCTACCATTTGCGACCATATAGACGAAGCTGGAAGACATTATGTAACACGAAATAGCCGGGTACGGAAGGGCAGATACCACATGTTCTCACTTATATGTGGAACTTAAAATGGTCAGTCTCATAGAAGCAGAGAGTAGAATGGTGATTACCAGAGGGTGGGGGAGGGAGGTGGGTGTGAGGGAGATATTGGTCAAAGAATACAAAATTTCAATTAGATGGGAGGCATACATTCAAGAGATCTACTTGTACAGCGTAGTGACTATAGTTAATAACAATGTGTTGTATACTTGAGAAACTCTGAGAGTCAATTTTATGTGTTCTCATCACCAAGAAATTATAGGCACAGATGTTCTGAGACTGATAATGGGGTCATACATTGAAAATATCATAAGCCAGGCTGGGCGCAGTAGCTCACACCTGTAATCCCAGCACTTTGGGAGGCTGAGGTGGGTGGATCACCTGAGGTCAGAAGTTCGAGACCAGGCTGGCCAACATGACGAAACCTGGTCTCTACTGAAAATACAAAATTTGCCAGGCATTGCAGCTCATGCCTGTAATCCCAGCTACTTATGAGGCTGACGCAGGAGAATCATTTAAACCTTGGTGGCAGAGGTTGCAGTGAGCCAAGATTGCGCCATTGCACTGCAGCCTGGGCAACAAGAGCAAAACACTGTCTCAAAAAAATAAAATATCCTAAGTCAAAAATGCATTTAACATGCCTAACCTACCAAACAGCACAGCTTAGCCTAGCCCACTGTAAACGTGCTCAGAACACTTATATTAGCCTACAGTTGGGCAAAACCATCTAATACAAGATCACCATGCCAGGCTAATGAATTTTTTTTTTTTAAGAGAGATGAGATCTTGCTATGTTGCCCAGGCTGGTCTCCTGGACTCAAGCTGATCCTCCTGTGTCAGCCTCCCACATTGCTGCGATTGCAGACATGAGCCATTGTGCCCAGGGGAACTGATAGTCTTGATTCAGGTTCAAAACAGGCTCTAATCATAAAGCAATTGGGCGCAGATGGTTTATTTGGTCCCAGAAGTGGGGAAAGTGAAGCAGGAAAGAAAATGTGCTAACCAACATATATTCCCTTTGTGGGAAACAGGGCTCAATTCTGTCGGGGGTGTTCTCTGAGGTATTATGTAGAGCTCACCTTCAGAATTATTCCACTGAGGGAAGAGGTACTTGGGTATTTACCATTGACTCCCTCGTTGGTTGACGGTGGTACCTGGGGGTGTTAAATCCCCTGCTGTGCAGGCTGTTCTGCATTGCAGACTGGCTGAGCACACTCCCACGGTGCTGGAGAAGGTGTCCAGACAGCAAAGATAGAGGCGGGGGCTTCCGCCAGCACATGTGAAATTGCCCACTGCTGCTGTAAGGTGAAATCAGTGGTGAGACAAGGGGCTACGGGTTAGGGCATCTTCAGCATCTGCTCAAGGACTTGCTTTTAGGTGAGGAAAAGAGTGAGATTTTTTTCGTTTGTTTGTTTTTGAGATGGAGTCTTGCTCTGTCTCCCAGGCTGGTAGTGTAGAGATGCAATCTACGCTCACTGCAACCTCCACTTCTCAGGTTCAAGAGATCCACCTGTCTCAGCCTCTTGAGTAGCTGGGACTACAGGCCCGCACCCCCACACCCAGCTAATTTTTGTGTTTTTAGTAGACATAGGGTTTCACTATGTTGGCCAGGCTGGTCTTGAACTTCTGACCTCAAGTGATCCACCTGCCTTGGATTACAGGTGTGAGCCATCGCGCCTGGCCCGCTGTACCTTTTCTATGTTTACATACACAAATGCTTGCTGTTGTGTTAAACTTGCCTACAGGATTCAGTATAGTAACTGTGCTGTATGGGTTTGTAGTCTTGGAGCAATAAACTAGACTGTCTAGCCCTGGTGTGCAGTGGGCTACACCATTTAGGTTTCTGGAAGTTCACTCTAGGTTATTCACACAATGATAAAATTGCCTAATGCATTTCTCAGAAACAATCCCTGTCATTAAGTGATACATGACTGTATATGTTTCTCTAAAACCTACTTATTTATCTACTTATTTTTAAAACTTGGCAGCACGTACCTCATGGGATTCCTCCAGGTGAATAGATAAATATCCTAACTCATTATTTTTAATAGCTACCTAATGGCTCATGATAGGAGTGTACTCTGATTATTCAAACTTTCCACATCTGAGGGCACACAGGTTATTTGCAGTTTGTCTTTTGCTGCTACTACAAACGATTCCTTGATAAATATCATTTTATAGGGTGGATTCCCAGTGTGGAATTTCAATGAGGTATTGTTCTAGTCACTTTCCAAAAACGCAATAAATCACAGTCCCACAAACAACACACAGGTGTGTCCTTTTCAACACACAGTTGCAAGCACTGGGTTTTATTGCATTATTATTTTTTGAATGATTGCCAGCCAGTCCAATGAGTGAAAAGTAGCAAGTCATTGTTACTCTCATTTTCATTTCCCTGACTGATAGTGAAGTTGGACTCTTTTTCTAACTTCACTAGCAGGAAAGACCTCTTTTCATATTTTTATTTTATGTTTTATTATACTTTAAGTTCTGGGGTACACATGCAGAAGGTACAGGTTTGTTACATAGTTATATACGCACCATGGAGTCCGCTGCATCCATCACCTCATCATCTACATTAGGTATTTCTCTTAATGCTATCCCTCCCCTAGCCCTCTCCCCATGACAGGCCCCAGTGTGTGATATTCCCCTTCCTGTGTCCATGTGTTCTCGTTCTAGTCTACTTATGAGTGAGAACATGCAGTTTCTGGCTTTCTATTCCTCTGTCAGTTTGCTGAGGATGATGGTTTCCAGCTTCATCCATGTCCCTGCAAAGGACATGAACTCATTCTTTTTTATGGCTGCATAGTATTCCATGGTGTATATGTGCCACATTTTCTTTATCCAGTCTATCATTAATGGGCATTTGGGTTGGTTCCAAGTCTTTGCTATTGTGAACAGTGCCACAATAAACATACATGTGCATGTGTCTTTATAACAGAATGATTTATAATCCTTTGGATATATACCCAGTAATGGGATTGCTGAGTCAAATAGTATTTCTACTTCTAGATCCTTGAGGAATCTCCACACTGTCTTCCACAATGGTTGAAGTAATTTACACTCCCACCAACAGTGTAAAAGCATTTTGATTTCTCCACATCCTCTCCAGTATCTGTTGTCTCCTGGTTATTTAATTATTGCCATTCTAACTGGTGTGAGATGATATCTCATTGTGGTTTTCCTATGTTTGATGGTTGCATAAATGTCTCCTTTTGAGAAGTGTCTGTTCATATCCTTTGCCCACTTTTTGATGGTTTTTTTTTTTTTTTTTTTTTTTAATTTGTTTAAGTTCTTTGTAGATTCTGGATATTAACCCCTTGCCAGACCAGAGAGAAATGTTATCCAAACGCCTTATAAGGAGAATCTGATACCAAATGCATTGAGGGACACATTGGGGGCCCCAAGCCATGTGCCATGCAGTCCTCAGAGTTTGTGGGTGCATAGGAATTTATCTCCTAGCCAAACAGGTTGCAGACAGTTGCTTAGTATGTAAGAAAACTAATAAACTTTTAAAAAAGTTACCCCTTGGGGAAAGGAATCCAGGCTTAAGGCCATTCTAAAGTATCCAGAATGATTACCCAGAGATGCCTCCAATTGGTTGTCTAAAGCATTTATTCATAATAGTAGATCACCTTACTCATTGGGTAAGACCTATTTCTTTTTCAAGTACAACTGCTAATAAGGCAGTCAAGGCATTAGTTGAAAACATTATACCCAACTTTAGATTAATAGAGAACATTGATTCAGATAACAGGACTCATTTCACTGCACATGTCATTATCCAGGTGCTGGATATAACATGGAAATATCATACTCCCTGGCACCCACCTTCATCAGGGAAAGTAGGAAGGCCTATTACCCTGTTAAGAGTCTGAATGGCAGCCAGGCAAGGTGGCTCACACCTGTAATCCCAGCACTTTGGGAGGCTGAGGTGGGTGGATCATGAGATCAGGAGATCGAGACCATCCTGGCTAACATGGTGAAACCCCTTTTCTACTTAAAAAAAAAAAAATTAGCCGGGCGTGGTGAAACATGCCTGTAGTCCCAGCTACTTGGGAGGCTGAGGGAGGAGAATCGCTTGAACCCGGGAGGGGCAGGTTGCAGAAGCCAAGATTGCACCACCGCACTCCAGCCTGGGCGACAGAGCAAAACTCTGTCTCAAAAAAAAAAAAAAAGGAAAAAAAAGATTAAAGCAATACATTTTATATTATGTGTATTTTACCACAATAAAAAAGCACCTTGTTCCCATGGTTCTGTAACCCCCCTTACGATGTTTTATTTTTCTCCACGACACTCAGCACTACCAGAAATACATACTGTGGTGTTATGTGTTTGCTTATCACATTTCCCCTACTACAGTGTAAGTCCCATGAGATCAAAGACTTTGCCTTTGTCGATGACACTATTTCCAGCACCTAGTACAGCATTTGGTATTCGATAGAGATTTGATAAATTATTTTAATGCAATGAAGGAGTGGACAAATCTATTGAAATTAAAATGCTCGTAGCCTTTGAATGAGCAATACTACTTCTAGAGAAATATTTGTACGTAGTATGTGACACTCACACTCCTGTGGTACATTGAGATGACTTAAGATTTTAATTGTATATTCTATGGTTATTTCCTATTGTGGCAAGTGATACTAACTTTCCTTTTATAATAGGTACATTTTCCTTTTTTAAAACAACAGCTTTATTAATATATAATTCACATACCATAAAATTCACCCTTTGAAAGTAAATAATTCAGTGTGGGACCTGGTGGCTCATGCCTGTAATCCCAGCACTTTGGGAAGCTGAGGCAGGAGGACCGCTTGAGCCCAGGAGGTGGAGGTTGCAGTGAGCCAAGGTTGTGCTACTGCACTCCAACCTGAGCAACAGAGTGTGAACCTATCCCCCCTATCCACCCAAAAAAGAAAGTATACAATTCAATGGTTTTTGATATGTTCAAAGAGTTGTGCAACCATCACCACTGTCTAATTCCAAAAGTTTTTTTTGTTTTTTTTGAGATGGAGTCTCACGCTGTCACCCAGGCTGGAGTGCTGTGGTGTGATCTCAGCTCACTGCAACCTCTGCCTCCCAGGTTCAAGCGATTCTCCTGCCTCAGCCTCCCAAGTAGCTGGGACTACAGGCCCATGCCTCCACGCCTGGGTAATTTTTTGTATTTCCAGGAGTTTTTTAATCACTCCAAAAGGAAACCTGTAGTCATTAAACAATCACTCCTCTCTTTCCCTTCAACTCCTGGCAGCTGCTGACCTGCTTTGTGTCTTTATGGACTTCCCTGTTCTGAGCACTTCATATCAATGAAACTGTGTAACATGTGACTTTTTGCAACGGGCTTTTCCACTTTGCATAATGTTTTCAAGGTTCATTCAGGTAGTAGCCCGTATTAGTCCTTCATTCTTTCTTCTTTTAAAAATTAAATTATTTTATTTTATTTTGAGACAGGGTATTGCCCTATTGCCCCGTCTGGAATGCAGTGGCATGATCATAGCTCACTGCTGCCTCAAATTCCTGGACTCAGGTGATCCTCCCACCTCCGTCTCCTGAGGAGCTGGGACTACAGGCAGTCACCACCACACCCAGCTAATTTTTTCATTTTCATCTTTTTTTTTTTTTTTGTAGAGACAAGTGTAGGGGGGAAACCCCGCAAGTGCCGTGGCAAGGGTCTGAAGCCTCAACCTGTTCCCATATAAATATTGATTTAGAAAAGATTAGAAATGTAGGCACATAGTTATTCCTTTATATAATCACATATAATCTTATAGTTACTTATGTATAATCATAGAGATAGATACTCAATGTAACCTTTGATTTTACTAATGACTATTGGGTTATGAAGCATGGAACTGAGGGGACATTGAGAACAAAGCGATCCTAAGGCAAGATGCTCTGAGCCTCTGTCACACCTGCATAAGGGCTGCTGGAGGGCGCCTCGGCTGTGCGGCAGCGCCAGCGCTGGGAAAGCGCCCGCTCTTTAGCCAGCTAGGGGAGGAGATGTCCAAAATGACCGAGACGTCTCCTTCCCGGGGGAGTTAGGAGAAAACTCCGCTTCTCCAAGCTCTTGTGGCAAGGCCTGACTGTCAGGGAAGCCCGCAGACATCCGGGGGCTTCACTGTGTCTATGTGACACTGTGCTTCAGCGGTCACGTCCCATGCCCACTCTCATGTTCTGCTTCTGCACCTGGTTTCTCTTTTTCTCAGAAGATAAGAATTAATGTCTTTGATATTTCTAACAAATATGCGAAGAGCGCTGACGCATTAGGTTTTTTCCTCGCCTCGGCTACTTGAAAGTATTGGGTCCCTTATCTCCAAGACACGTAATCTACCTGACCCTATCACCGACCACCATTACCTCACCCTACCTTCCCTGCCCCCTGCTCTGTACTCAATAAAAGTCAGAGTGTCCAGGCACTCGGGGCCGCTGCAGGTCTCCATGCTTTGGTTCGCAGTGGACCCCCGAGCCCAAACTCTTTTCTCGATCTCTGTGTCTGTGTCTTATATTTCTACAGTTTCTTGTCTCCGCACCAAGAGGGAGGGGCTCACAGAACCCTATAGGGCTGGACCCTATCGACAGGCTCTTAAAGTCCTGGGCTGGTCTTAAACTCCTGGCCTTAAGCAATTCTTCCACCTCGGCCTCCCAAAGTGCTAGGATTATAGGTGTGAACCACCCCACCTGGGTCTTCATTCCTTTTTATTGTCAAATAACATTTTATTGTATTGATGTCAGTTTCCTTTTAAAAGCAATTTTGTAAATTTTAATAGCTTTTGGGGTACAAGTGGTTTTTGTAACATGGATGAATTACATAGTGGTGAATTCTGAGACAGTTCCTTTTCAAATGAAAGAAAATAGAATTATTTTAAAGAAAAATATTAATGGAACAATTACACAGGGATATGTAGACATGGGATGAAGTTTGCATGTAAAAGACTGACATTTGGGAAATTGTGGTTTTGAAATCCAATTTGGATACATGCAGAGTCAACATGAACAACCCAGGGTGTGCCTTCTGGGTGTGCAAACATTCTTTAATTCTGTGGTTTGCAGGGGTGGATCATTTATTCAGTCTTCCCACCAATGTTGGTTTCTACAGAATAATCAATAGGAAAATGTTGGGCATAGTCAGGAAATACTCAGTATCTGTTCCCTAATGTCTTCCAGCCCAGCTCTCACCAAGAGTCTGTCTAAAGGAATAGATATGTTGCTATTTAAAAAAAAAAACCCTCATCATCACTGGTCATTAGAGAAATGCAAATCAAAACTACATTGAGATACCACCTTACACCAGTTAGAATGGCGATCATTAAAAAATCAGGAGACAACAGATGCTGGAGAGGATGTGGAGAAATAGGAACACTTTTACACTGTTGGTGGGAGTGTACATTAATTCAACCATTGTAAGACAATGTGGCAATTCCTTAAGGATCTAGAAGTAGAAATATCATTCGACCCAGCAATCTCATTACTGGGTATATATCCAAAGGAAAAATCATTTCTCCCTTGCTGCTGTTCTTGTGATGGAGTGCATTATTGCAAGGTTTGGTTGTTTGAAAGTGTGCAGCCCCTCCCCAGCTCCCTTCTTCCTGCTCCAGCTGTGTAAGGTGTGTCTGCTTTCCCTTCGCCTTCTGCTGTGATTCCGGAGACCTCCCCAGCCATGCTTTCTGTATGGCTTGTGGAACCCTGAGCCAATTAAACCTTTTTTCTTTTAGAGACGGAGTCTCGCTATCACCCAGGCTGGAGTGCAGTGGCTCGATCTCGGCTCGCTGCAACCTCCGCCTCTCGGGTTGAAGTGATTCTCCTGTCTCAGCCTCCCGAGTAGCTGGGATTACAGGTGTACACCACCACACCCGGTTAATTTTTCTGTATTTTTAGTAGAAATGGGGTTTCACCATGTTGGCCAGGCTGGTTTTGAACTCTTGACCTCAAGTGATCCTCCCACCTCTGCCTCCCAAGGTGCTAGGATTACAAGTGTGAGCCACTATCATGCCTGGCCTAAACATTTTTTCTTTGTACATTGCCTAGTCTCAAATATTTCTTTATAGCAGTGCAAGAACAGACTAATACAACCATAGATTTCAATGCTGGCTCATTCCACCAAGCATAATGTACTTCAGGTTCATCCATGTTGTGGCAAAATGGCAGAATCTCTCTCTCACTCTCGTTTTTTTTTTTTTTTTTTTTTAAGCTGAATAACATTCTATTGTGTGAACACACACACGTGCACATGCATGCACGCACACACACACACACACACATTTTCCTTATTCATTCATCTGTCAATGGACACTTTGATTTTTTCACAGTTTGGCTATTGTGAATAATGCTTCAATGACCATGGGAGTGCAGATATCTTTTTTTGTTTGTTTGTTTTGAGATGGAGTCTTGCTCTGTTGCCCAGGCTGGAGTGCAGTGGTGCAATCTTGGCTCACTGAAACCTCTGCCTCCTGGGTACTTGCAATTTTCCTGCCTCAACCTCCTGAGTAGCTGGGACTACAGGTGTACGCCATTACACCCAGCTAATTCTTTTTGTATTTTAGTAGAGATGAGGTTTCACCATGTTGCCCAGGCTGGTCTCAAACTCCTCAGCTCAGGCAATCCACCCGCCTCAGCCTCCCAAAGTGCTGGGATTATAGGCATGAGCCACCTTGCCCAGCCAGATATCTTTACTAGATCCTGATTTCATTTCCATCCAATATATATTCAAAACGTCTAATTGCTGGGTCATATGGTAAGTCCTGTTTCTTTTTTTCTTTTTCTTTTTCTTTTTTTTTTTTTTTTTTTTTTGAGACAGGGTCTTGCTCTGTCACCCAGGCTGGAGTGCAGAGGTGTTGGCTCACAGCAACCTCAATTTCCTGGGCTCAAGCAATCCTCTCACCTCAGCCTCCAAGAAGTTAGGACTATAGGCACACACCATCACACTTAACTCATTTAAAAAAAAATTTTAGTAGAGACAAAGTCCCACTATGTTGCCCAGGCTGGTTGAAAACTCTTCAGCTCGGGGGCCGAGCGCAGTGGCTCATGCCTGTAATCCCAGCACTTTGGGAGGCCAAGGCAGGTGGATCACGAGGTCAAGAGATCGAGACCATCCTGGTCAACATGGTGAAACCCCGTCTCTACCAAAAATACAAAAAATTAGCTGGGCATGGTGGCATGTGCCTGTAATCCCAGCTACTCAGGAGGCTGAGGCAGGAGAATTGCCTGAACCCAGGAAGCGGAGGTTGTGGTGAGCCGAGATCGTGCCATTGCACTCCAAACTGGGTAACAAGAGCAAAACTCCATCTCAAAAAAAAAAAAAAAAGGAAAAAAAAAAAAGAAAACTCTTTAGCTCAAGTGATTCTCCTGCCTTGGCTTCCCATAGTGCTGAGATTACAAGCGGGAATCACCATGCCTGGACAATTCTGTTTTTTAATTAATTAAATGAATATCATAGTTGTACAGATTTTTGCGATAATGATTAAACTGGGTAATCACTCCAGACTGATTACTCTGGTGGCAGAGCAAGATCTTATCTCTCAAAGGACAAAAAAAAAAAAAAAAGGAAAGAAGACACAGGATGAGGCTCCTGATTCTCCATGATAGACACACCTGGGAAGAAGTGGCCACTGGGGAAAAATTAAATCCATAACACCATTCATATCAGCCTCATGGTTTCAGCACAGAACAAAGATTTCAACACTTTCTTTCAAAGTTTGACAACAGTTTATTGAACACTTATTATGCAGATCAAGGACTTGTTCCCTGTCCTCCAGAAGTGGTCATTTCCAGCATCTCGTCCTGGGCGAGAGAGCAGGATCAACCAGAAAAAAGAGTGGAAATGGCTTTCTGGAAAAAGTAAGGGTGGGAGGTAGTGGAAGAGGGATAAAGGGAGAGGGAGAGTCCCCCAGATTAGGGGCAATGTTGATAGCAAATGCTTAAAGGCAAGGATGAGTAAGAGGACATTAGCTTTGTTGAAAGAGTGAATTCATGGCGGAAGAGGTAGTAGGAGATGAGTTTAGCTAAGTGATGGCAGATGGTAACATTGGAAAGGTGTGAGAGATCCTGATGTGTAGTTTGATATTTGTCTTTATTTGATTGTTTGATTGATTTTGGAGACCAGATCTCATTCTCCTGCTTAGAGCTGGGATGCAGTGGCATGATCATAGATCCCTGCAACCTCAAACTCCTGGGCTCAACTGATCCTCCAACCTCAGCGTCATGAGGATCTGGGACTACAGTCACTTGCCACCATACCCAGTTTATTATTATTATTATTATTATTATTATTATTATTATTTTGTAGAGATGAGGTCTTGCTGTGTTGCCCAGGCTGGTCTCTAACTCCTCGCCTCAAGTGATTCTCCCACTTCAGACTCCCAAAGTGTTGGGATTACAGGTATGAGCCACTGAACCCAGACCCCTGGTCTTTAAGTAATAGGGTATGTTGTGTCTTCTTGAGTGTTCCAGGGAGATCACTGTTATAGATGATATGGAGGACACATGGAAAGTGAGATGGAAAAGCGAGAGGCAAGGGAGGAAGTTGGTTGCAAAGACGCAGTTAAGAGAAGATAAAGGCTTGAGCCTGGACAGTAACATGTCAGGGAAGAGAAGACAGGCATGAAAGTTGTTTCAAAACCAAGCTGGACTGGGTGTGGTGTCTGGTGGCATATGAAGGATGCAAGAAGGGAGAGGTCATAGATTAACTGCAGAAATAGCAACCTGGAATCTGAGGTTGAGGATACCAGGAATGCTTGGAGGAGTAACCAGGAAGAAAAGGTTCATCTTTAGCTCTGAGTTTTCAGTGACACTGGAGGTACCCACAGGTTATCTGAGCTGGAAAGGCCAGGGCTGGGGATGGGGAGATACAGATTGGGAAGATAGTGAAGCCGGTCTGACTTCCAGCCTGGTGCAACAAAGTTACCTGGAGGTAACCTTAGCTGGTGGTTATTGAGAATTTCTAGAAACTTCCAGAAGGCTACTACCTTGGAGGTAGGGAAAATTTTTATTAGGCATCTTCACTAATTAAAAAAGATTTCAGATGCATCAAGACTTAGCATGTCGCGGAAAGGAGGTTGGACTGGAAGTCAAACCTTGTCCTTGTCTCTGTCTTACTGTGTTGCGTTTGACAAATTATTGAACCTCTCTGGTTATGAGAGGTTAAATATTATGTTGTCTGCAAAATAGCAAGGTGACAACAGGGAATTTGACATAGCTCCAGCATGCTCTCATTCAGAGTAGTTGACTGCAAGAATAGATGAGTGGATGGATTTTCTTGGAGAGAGGGCAGAGTCCAGGGTCTCAGGGGGAGGAGTGTGAGGAGGAAGAGATCCAGAAAGGAAGAGACACTTCATTATCCAGAGAGAGGCCATGAGCTAGGAAGAGAACGGAGTAAAGATACCAACTTGCTAGCCAAGGAGGAGTGGTTTGGGAGAGAATGGTTCTTACTAAATCACTAGAGTGAAGGAGGGAACTGGAGGTTGGGAATGCATTGACCTCAGGAGGAGGTTTTATCTCCAAGTGAGATGCAGGAGCCAGCAGAGGTTGGACTGGGGTAGGAGGGAATGAGTGGGCATTGATTTGTCCATGGAAAATCTTAAGTTTTATCATGTTTCTGCTTCATGGGAGAAAGAAGACCACAGGAACAGAAAGTAGGATAAGCAAATGCACTCTTAGGTCTCTTAGGTTGCATTAATAAAGATAAAAGTCCAGCCTGAGGGAGATGATGTTAATGTTAGCACCATGCCTTGTGCTACATTTTGGCTGGCTTGCTCTAAGAAGGGCAGGGGCAGATTAAAGGAGGGCCTGCATGAGGGGTGTGATGAAAAAGAAACTGGGTGTCATTGATCCTTGGGAAGAGAAGATCTTGGGAATTGGTAAGAGCTGCCTCTAAATTTCTGTGGTACAGAAGGAATGATGGAAGGAAAGCTCCTCCCTGTCTTTCTGCTTCTACTGCAGATACAGCCGTTTCCGGAGGGTGCTTTGGATTTCAGGGTTCACTTTCCTTGGTTCTCCTCCCTGATCCAGCTCTGCTTCTGCCATCTGCCGGGTCACCTGCAGCAACGGGTGTGGTCAGCTTGGAGGAGTCAGTGTCATGGGCTTATGGAGGGAGGGTTAGGTGGGTATTCTTGTCCTAAGATGAGAGACCTTTATGGTCTCCTCCTATACCAGAGTTTGTATGGTATCCTTGGTTGGCCATTTGTTTTCCTAATTTGCAATAAAAACATATATAAACATGAAAAGAAAACAGTTTGCCCAAACATTGTTTATATCCAAGGGGAAGTTTGTTTAGAAATTTATTGGTATTTCATTGAAACGATTTCACATGCTGTGAGTTTTGAGAGTCCCTGCATTTGGGAAAGTTGTTGGAAGATGGGCATCTTTGTTTCTGTGTTGAGATGTGGGTTGGATTTGGGGTTGGGGGAAATGGAGAGGGGTTAGGAGGAGGCTTAGCCCCCTCTGCCTGCACCCTACTTGGCCTGAGCGGTGGCCCAGCTACCTCGTGTCAACTCACCTCTGTCAGAAGCTCCAAGATATGTCCTTTTCTCTTTGTGAACACATCAACCAGGGTCTGGATGAAGCAGGAGCCTTTCTGATCATGTCGGTAGGAGATGTATCCTGGGAATCCCAGAGAGGTGGGGTCGGGGGAGGTTCAGGGGGCTAGGTAGTGGGGATCCTGGAAGGGGGTGGGTCCTGGAGGAGAGGTTCAGGGGTCGGGAGTGGCAGGTGATGGGGAAGAGCAGAGGCAGCCCTGGGCCAGCTGGGAGCTCATACCCTCCACTGTGGAGTAGACGTGCAGGGCGTCTGTGTAAGTTGGGATGGTTTGGGGACTGTCTTTGGTGACCATCACAATCTCATCCCCACCTACTATTTCACCGGAGTCCCTTTGTTCTGAAACAACAAGCAGAGGAGAAGGCAAAGTCAGAGAGAAAGGTAAGGAAAGGGGCCGGGCATGGTGGCTCACACCTGTCCTCCCAGCGCTTTGGGAGGCTGAGGCAGGAGGATCACTTGAACTTGAGAGTTTGAGGCTGCAGTGAGCCATGATTGTACCACTGCACTCTAGCCTGAGTGACAGAGTGAAATGTTGCCTCTTAAAAAAAAAAAAAAGGTAAGGAGAAGGTCCTAGGATGGTCTGGTGGTATGCAGGTACAGTGGGGCTTTTTAATTTAATTTGATTTTTTAGAGACAAGGGCTTACTCTGTTACCCAGGCTGGAGTGCAGTGGTGTAATTATAGCTCACCGCAGCCTCTAAATCCTGGGCTCAAGTGATCCTCTTGCCTCAGCCTCCTGAGTAGCTAGAACTGCAGACCCATGCCACCATGCTCCTGGCTAGTTTTTAAAATTTTTTGTAGAGCTGGGTTCTCACTATGTTGCCCAGAAGCTAGTCTTGAAATCCTGGCCTCTAACAAATCTTCCCACCTGGGCCTCCCAAAGTACTGGAATTACAGGCATGAGCCATAGTGCCTGGCTTCGGCTGGGGCTTTGGATCTGAGACTGGCTTGGATAAAACCATAGACTTGGTTGGGCGTGGTGGTGGTGGGAGGCTGAGGCAGGAGGATTGCTTGACCTCAGGAGTTTGAGACCAGCCTGGGCAACATAATGAGACCCTGTCTCTACAAAAATTAGTTGGGCATAGTGGCAGGCACCTGTAGTCTCAGTTCCTCAGGAGGCTGAGGCAGGAGGATGGCTGGGTCCTGGGAGATAGAGATTGCAATGAGTTGAGATTGCACCAGTGCACTCCAGCCTGGGTGCTAGAGCAAGACTCTGTCTCAAGAAAACAAAACAAAACAAAAACAACAAACCACAGACTGCCCTTGGGTCTGTCCCCACCTCCTCGACAGGCCTGTATGATGTACACCTTGGGTTTGGCTCGCAGGGCCTGGCAGTTCTTGTTGTTTAGGGCCTCAAAGAGGTTCTCCAGCTTGACCATCTCCCCATCTTCTCCCTTGAGGAGGCCTTCCTTCCCGTGAGCCATGAGTACCACGAAGGCGCAACTGATAGGTTCTTCCCAGGAATCGATGACCTGCTGAAATTTTTCCAGCTCTTCCTGGAATTGCTGGAGTGAGAGGAAGAACCAGACTCAGCTGAGTCCCTAGAGGCTACTCATCCAACCTAGTATCTTTCCCCCAGCCTGGCTTGGAGTAGGCACCCTGATACCTGGGCAGTGGGGTCTCTCTTCACGGTGCTTTTGAATCTCAGCTGCTGGAACATGTGCTCCAGGGCATCCAGGTCTTCTTCGGAACCTTCCCGGGCTTTGGTGACACACAATGTGAGGGCCAGGCGGGCACCTGACATATCGTATTTCTCCTGGGCCAATAGATGACAAAAATCAGCATGGGAGGTTCAAGGAGAAGCAGATGTAGTCAAAAGAGGTGTGGAGGCTGGGTGTGATGGCTCATGCCCGTGGTCCCATCACTTTGGGAGGCTGAGGTGGGAGGATCACTTTAGCCCAGGAGTTTGAGACCAGCCTGGGCAACACAGTGAGACTCTGTCTCTACAGAAAATGAAAAAATTATCTGGACCAGGTGCGGTGGTTCATGCCTGTAATCCCAGCACATTGGGAGGATGTGGTGGGCGGATCACAAAGTCAGGAAATAGAGACTATCTTGGCTAATGTGGTGAAAACCCATCTTTACGAAAAATACAAACAATTGGCTGAGTGTGGTGGCATGCACCTGTAGTCCCAGCTACTTGGAAGGCTGAGGTAGGAAAATCGCTTGAACCCAGGAGGCAGAGGTTGTGGTGAGCTGAGATCGCACCATTGCACTCCAGCCTGGGCAACAGAATGAGATTCTGTCTCAAAAAAAAAAAAAAAAGAAAAGAAAAGAAAAGAAAAAAGAAAAAGAAAAGAGAAAAAAAGAAATTAGCAGTTTGTGCTGGTGTGCACCTGTGGTCCCAGCTACTTTGGAGGCTGAGGTGGGAGAATCGCTTGAGCCTGGGAGGTTGAGGTTGCAGTGAGCCATGATCTTGCCATTGCACTCTTGCCTGGGCAACAAGTGAGACCCCATCACAAAAACAAACAAACAAAACAAGAGAGGCTTGAGCTAAGGGTTGTCAGGTACAATACAAGATGCTCAGGTACGTTTACATTTTAAATTTTTAAAAAAGTAATTTTTTTAGTATAAGTATATCCCAAATATTGCATGGGATATACTTATACTACACAATTATTTGTTGTTGATGTGAATTGGGTGTCCTTTATTTTTATTTCCCAAATCTGGCAACCCAAACTGGAGTCCAGTTTTGTTCTAGCTTGGTGTGAACTTGGGGCAAGTTACTGTACCCATCTGATCATCTGAGCCTCACTTTCCAAATATAGACAATGAGAATGTGTGTGATTTTGAAGATCCCTTCCAGTTGTCATATTTTGTGGCTTTACAAGTCTCCTCATCCTCCCCAAGGGTGTTCTGAGCATTCCTCTATTACCTCCTCACTTGCAGAGGTCTCAGAGTTGCTGAAGCTAATACTGAGATCCCATGCTTTCCCATCAGAGGAAGAAGAATTTTGGGGAGTCAACATTTCTTTTCAGAACAGAAGCAGGGTACTGAGTACCCCAGTGATAAGAACGTCATCTTTTAAAAACTCAACGTAAAATTGTTCATTGTAGGACTTCTCAGAACGTTTAATGTGTTGAGAACAACTTGATCTTTGGAGACAGATATAGCTGAGTCTGACTGCCCACACCCCACAACCTAACTTGGGTTCCATCTCTGAGTCGTTTTTTGCTGTTTTGTTGATTACGAAGTACCTCCTAGCTCTGACTTCTGGTCATGATGTTTTCACTCCCTCTTTCCAAGACATTAAGGTCCTCACCTTTCTTCTCCCCATGTGATCACCCTCCCCTCAACCTGCACCCAGCTGACCTCCAAAGGTCGCAGATTGCTCATTTCTCCTTTGACTGTGAGCTCCAGCTCCCAGTACTCTTGTCTGATCCTGGGGGTCAAGAAAAAATGGGTTAAAGGTCATTAAAAAGAGGCAGAGGGGCTCAGGGGACAAACTGACTTATCTGGATTTTTGAGAGCAAATAGCACCCCAGTGGTGGGGATTTTGTCCACGGACAGATCTGGGCAAAGGATGATAGTCCATGAAGTAGTAATATATCATCCCTAGAATGACAATTTCATGGTGTCTTCAGACTGCTGGGCCCACTCCACAATGCCCCCCCCACCTCCAAAAACTTCCTGTATCTCCCTTGGGTCATTCGCCAGCTTGTGATGGACTGAGCTTCCCTCTGAAAGCCCTGGAATGATGAGCAGAGGCAAGTGGCCCATGCGTTTCCCTTTTCTACCCAGGAGATGATGGGCTGGGGAAGCCATCTCAAAGAGATGCCTTGGAGGTGGATTTAAAAGGAGAATGCCATCCAAGTGGGGAATACAACGTTGATATTATCTCAGTTGATATTATCTAATACAAAGGGATAAATCAATCTCCCTTGCTCTTCCTTGAGGCTGAGTGTCTGTCCACGTTCTCCATTCTGATCTCTGAGTCCTGTTCTGTCCTGTTCTGTTTTCTGACTACACAGAGAGATTTTTATCATACTCGTGGCATTTCACCATCTCCTTGCCCTTCCCTACACTTTCTTATCAATAGGGAATGGCTTCTCTTTTTTTGTTTGTTTGAGATGGAGTCTTACTCAGTCACCCAGGTTGGAGTGCAGTGGCGTGATCTCAGCTCACTACAACCTCTGCCTCCCAAGTTCAACTGATTCTCCTGCCTCAACCTCCCAAGTAGCTGGGACTATAGGCACCCACCAGCACACCTGGCTAATTTTTTGTATTTTTAGTAGAGACGGGGTTTCACTATGTTAACCAGGATGGTCTTGATCTCCTGACCTCATGATCTGCCTGCCTTGGCCTCCCAAAGGGCTGGGATTACAGGCATGAGCCACCACGCCCAGTTGAGAATGCTTTTTCTTTCTTTCTTTTTTAACCTATCAAGATCCTTCTCTGACAGTTTGGGTGGCATAATATCTGCTATGCCTTCCCCCATCATCCATACATCCATCTATCTTTTCATCCACCTATCTATCCAGTCATCCATCAATTCATTCATCTATCCATCTGTCTGTCCATTAATTCATCATCTGTCCATACATTCACCCACTCACCCATCCATCTGTTCATCCATCTGTCCATCTACTTATCTATCAATCAGTTATCCCATCCACTCATTTAGTGTTCCAACCACACATCTGTCTAGCCACCCATCAGTCCAATTATACATCCATCCATTTATCCAACAACCTGTCCACCAATTTATCTTTCCACTGGCCTATCTATCCATGCATCCATCCATCCATCTACCCACTCACACATCTATCCACCTGTCTGTCCATCTACCCATCCGTTAATCAGGCATCCTGTCTATCCATTCATTCTTCCATCAACCCATGTATCTACTCATCCATTCATTTATCCATCAACCCATCTATCTTTCCACCTACCTATTTGCTCATCCATTCATCCATCCACCCACTCACACATATATCCAACCATCTATTCATCTACCCATCTATTAATCAGTCATTCCATCCACCCATTCATTCTTCCATCAACCAATATGTCCATCCATCCATCCATCCATCCATCCATCCATTCATTCATTCATCCATCCATCCATTTATCTGTCATCTCTATCTTCTTCCATCCCTCATCTATTCTATCTTCCATTCATCTCTCCATCTAACCCTCCTTCTATCCATTACTTCATCTATCATCTCTATATTCCATCTATCCATCCACCTATTTACTCATCTATCCACCCATCCACCCACCCAGCCAGCCAGCCAGCCAGCAAATATTTTCTGGGTATCTATGATGTGTTATGCACTTAGAATCCATTAAGTAAGACAGATATGTTCCCTGCCCTTCTGTCCTTTTGCAGCACTAGTCTGTGACAGAAATGAATATTAAATATCTCTTTTTCTTTACACACACACACACGCGCGCACACACACACACACACACAGAGAGAGAGAGAGAGAGAGAGAGAGAGAGAGAGAGAGAGAGAGAGAAAGTGATGTGAAGAAAGAGGAACCAAAGATTGTGAGGGAGGAAATGGAAGGAGCATAGCCCTGGAGTCAGACAAACCAGAACCAAATCCTGCCTCAGCCCCTTCCCAGCTGTGTGAACTTGGGCATCTCATTCTCTCTAGAGACTCGATTTTCCCATCCACAAAGAACCTGGGGAGAGCTCTAGCTGCTTGACAGCAATGGCAAACCCAGGTAGGTTTTATGTTCCCTCTTAACCTCCTGGAGCTTTTCCTGCTCTGGACTCTCACAGCTCTGCTTGGTCCTACTTGAGTTATGGCATTGCTTTTGGTTCTTATTCTCCTTGCTAAACTGGCAGCTCAGTTTTCAGGACTGAAAGCCTGACTTCATTATCTCTGTCTCCATCACGGCCGACAGTGTGGCAAGGAGCACAGAGTGGGTGTTGAGAGAATTTGCTGAGTAAACAAGACACAAATAAACAGATGAAAGAAAGAGTGGATATATGGATGGAAATTTCTTCCATTCTGCCCAAACTGGCCAGAGCATTAATTTATGAAGGGAGAGGGAGCGTGTGTGTGTGTGTGTGTGTGTTGTGTGTGTGTGTGTGTGTGAGAGAGAGAGAGAAAGAGAGAGAGAGAGAGAGAGAGATATGGAAGAGCTAATATCTGCCAAATCACTTACCGACCCTAGAGGCAGCTGTTCCTCAAGGCCAAGTTCAAGTTCACTACTCTCCTAGTTGCCAATACAGAGCTGGGCACTGAGGAGGAGTCAGGACCACGTGCTGATGTTGGAGAAGGGACTGACAGTATGGAATCTCCCCAGGTTTCTCCTGAGAGGCCTGTCTGTGAATGAGGTGGCACAATCATCTGTCCCTTTATTGTCAGTGAGTTTTCTGTCACTCAAGAAACTTCATGACACACCCTTGGCATAGCCTTGGTGTGAAAATGGAGCCAATGCCAATGGGATGGGTGACAGTAAGGCTGAGTGGACTCCCTCTGGCAAAGGTGGCCTAGGCAGAGCCTCTAAATTAGCCAGAGGTCTGTGCCAGCCCAGCCACAACCCCTCCCAGACCCCATCCCATATCCAGCTCATCTGGTTATTACATCATCACTATGCCTAGTTCATTCATCTCACCTTCCACTGTGTAGATAACACCGACTTCATTTACTTATCATCTCATCAAGTCCTCAAGAGTCTAGAGAGATCAGTATAGTCCCATTTTGCAGGTGGGGAAACTGAGGCTTATAGAGGTGAAAGGACTGCCCAAGGTCAGCAATTGGCACAGTTATCATTCAAACCTATAAGGGGTGAGGTGTAGTGGCTCACACCTGTAGTCCCAGTGCTTTGGGAGGCCAAGGCAGGAGGATCACTTGAGGTCAGGAGTTTGAGACCAACCTGGGCATAGTGAGACCCTGTCTCTGAAAGAACAAAAAAACCAAAATGATAGCATGCACCTGTAGTCCTAGCTGTTCAGGAGGCTGAGGTAGGAGGCTGGCTTGAGCCCAGGAGTTTGAGGCTGCAGTGAGCTATGACTGTGCCTCTGCCCTTTAGCCTGGATGACAGAGCCAGACCCTGCCTTAAATGTAAAAACAAGCAAACACGTAACCCCTAAAAGGTTCCAGCCCAGTTGCCTTAACTGATGCCTCATGTTGAGCTCTCTCTTCTCTTCTTCCTCCTCTATTTTTTCAGCCATTTTCTCTCATTTTATTTTACTTATGTTAGCAGTGAAACCAAAGGTGAACCTGATTAAGCCCTCCAAACTTGACCTGCCTTGCCTTTAATTGCTTACTTACAGTTGATCTTAAAATGCCACTAGCAAGTCACATAGCCAAATAAGGCATAACTAAACTCTCGATAGCTTCCCTACAGATAACATTTCTGACCGTGAGTCACTATGGTAATGGGTGCTTAAAGTTGTTTTTCAAGACCTAGGTGGGAGGCAGCTCTTGTCTAGTTTAAGCCAGTGGAGATTGCGGTCCCTTCATCTGGACCCATGTGGGTAGCTGACATCAGAGGGTCATAAACTCCACCCTCAGATCATGCTAAATGTTACTTTCTGCACATATGTCCTATCTAAAGCCATGTAGCCCAACTATGCTTGCTCAGAAATCCTCATGACATCACCTTTTCTACTGCCAGTCATCTTTCTTCATACTTTAGACCACCCTGTGTTCTATCCCATAAGTACACTTAAACCCTATTTTTGGGTAGGAGGATTTGGGACCTGTTTTCCCACCACCTCGATTAATTGCCTTGTGAATAAACTCTTTCTCTTCTGCAAAATCTATCACTGCAGTGATTGGCTTGCTCCACGGAGGCAGAACAAACTTGATTCCATAGCAACAGTTTAAATGAGATATAATTTACGTATTATACAATTCACTCACTGAAAGTGTCCAATTCAGTGAGTTTTAGTATATTCACAGTGATGCAACCATTACCACAGTTCATTCTGGAATATTTTCTTTTTTCTTTTTTTTGGAGACAATAGCTTGATCTGTCACCCAGTCCGGAGTGCAGTGGAGAGATCACAGCTCACTGCAGCTTCAAACTCCTGGGCTCATGTGACCCTCCTGCCTCAGCCTCCTAGGTAGCTGAGACTACAAGTGCGCACTACCATGCCTGGTTAGCTTTTTTTTTTTTAAGTTTTTTGTAGAGACAGAGTTTTGCTATGTCGCCCAGGCTGGTCTCAAACTCCTGGCCTCAAGGGATCTTCCTCACCTGGCCTCTCAAAGTGTGGGATTACAGGTGTGAGCCACCACACCTGGCCCATTTTAGAACATTTTTATTATCCCTCCCAAAAGAATCCCAGTACCCTTTAGTTGTCACTCCCAATCTCTCCATACATTATAGCCTTAGGCAACCACTAGCTGACTTTCTATCCCTGTAACTTACCCTGTTCTGGATATTTCACAGAAATAGAATCATATTATGTGATTTTTGTGTCTGGCTTCTTTCGCTCAGCATGATGTTTTCAAGAACAGTATTGGGGGAATGTTGGTTTGTTGTCTCTTGTTTCATTTTGTTTTGGTTTTTAGAGAGCCAAGTGTTAGGCATCTTTTAGCAAATCATTGCAGATACTCCCATTCCAATCCCTTCCCCTAAGATCCAACCTTCTTAGCTGACCAGACCCCATAAAGCAATGAGGTTTCAAGGAGGAAGAAGATAGCATCCACATTGTAGCACATATTAGTGCTTCATTCCTTTTTGTGGCTGAATAATAGTCCATTGTACAGATATACCTCATTTTGTTTATTTATTCATCTGCAGATGGACATTTGAGTTGTGCTAGGCTTTTGGCTGTTTGAAGGATGCTGTTATACATATTTATGTATAAGTTTTTGTGTGGATTTTTTTTTAAGACAGGGTCTCATGAAGTTGCTCAGGCTAGGGTGCAAGTACACAATCTTGACTCACTGCAACCTCTGCTTCCTGGACTCAAGCAATTCTCTAGCCTCAGCCTCCGGAGAGATTTGTTAAAGGATACAAAATTACAGCTAGTGCTATTCACAACAGCAAAAACATGGAATCAACCTAGGTGCCCATCAACAGTAGATTAAAGAAAACATGTTATATATATACCATGGAACACTATGCAGCCATAGAAAATAACAAAATCATGGCCGGGTATGGTGGCTCACACCTATAATCCCAGCACTTTGGAAGGCAGAGGCAGGCGGATTACCAGAGGTCAGGAGTTTGACAACAGCCTGGCTAGCATGGTGAAACCCATCTCTACCAAAAATACAAAAATTAGCCAGGCATGGTGGCACATTCCTGCAATACCAGCCACTGGGGAGGCGGAGGCAGGAGAATCACTTCAACCCGGGAGGCAGAGGTTGCATGAGCTGAGACAGTGACACTGCACTCCGGCCTGGGTGACAGAGAGACACTGTGTCTCAAAAAAAAAATCATGTATTTTGCAGCAACATGGATGCAGCTGGAGGCCATTATCCTAAGTGAATTAATGCCAGAACAGAAAACCAAACACCACCTGTTCTCACTTGTAAGTGGGAGCAAAACATTGACTACTCATGAACATAAAGATGGATACAATAGACACTGGTGACTGCTAGAGGGAAGAGGACAGGAGAGGAGGCTAGGGTTGATAAACTACCTACTATGTCCTGTGCTCACTACTGGGTGGTGGGATCATTCATACAGCAAACATCAGCATCACCCGGTTTAGCCATTGATATGGTCTGGCTCTGTGTCCCTCCCCAAATCTCATCTTGAATTGTAATCTAATTGTAATCCCACATGCTGGGGGAGGGACCTCATGGGAGGTGACTGGATCATGGGGTAGTTCCCCCATGCTGTTCCCATGATAGTGAGTGAGTTGTCAAGAAATCTGATGGTTTTCCCACTTTGCACGTCTCTGTCCTGCTACCATGTAAGACATGCTTCTTCCCCTTCTGCCATGATTGTAAGTTTCCTGAGGCCTCCCCAGCCATGCAGAATTGTGAGTGAATTACACCTCTTTATGAGTTACCCAGTCTTGGGTATTTCTTTATGGCAGTGTGAAAATGGACTGATATACCCATGTCACAAATATGCTGGACTCACATCTCACCCCTCGGACTCACCTCCTACCATCTGGACTCACCTCTCACCTGGACTCACCTCTCAACACCTAGACTCATCTCTCACCACCTAGGACTCGCCTCTCACCACCCGAACTTATCTTTTACAATCTGGGCTTACTTCTCACTACCTGGACTGACCTCCCACCACCTGGACTCACCTCTGAATTTAAAATAAAAATTGAAAAAGAAAAAGAAAGATAAAGGTAATGTCAAAATGGTAGAAACGCTTTATGGCATTTTTACTTGTCCTTGTCTCCCCCCTTCACCCCACAAAAATACAGATATGTAGGAAGAATAAGTCCTAGTGTTCTACAGCACTGTAGGATAACCATAGTAAACAATAATATATTACATAGTTTCAAAGATCTGGAAGGAGGATATTGCATGTTCCCAACACAAAGAAATGATACATGTTTGAGATGATTGACATGTAAATTACCCTGATCTGATTACTGTATGTCATATGCCTCAAAACATTACTATGTACCCCATGAATATGTACAGTTATTATGTCAATTAAAAATAAAAAGGAAGTAAAACAAAAAACCTCCTAAGCAATTAAAAGCAAAAATGTCCTCATTTGTAATGTTTGCCAATTTCCATGGTGTATGTATTCTCACTGTAGCTGATATCAAGTTACAAAAACGGCATCATTGAATGCAGAGTTGGGAGGAACTGGCCTTGGATCTGCCCAGGATTGAAAGGGCAATTCTGAGGCAGCCCCCGCACTGCATGGAGGCAGGGGGGGTTAGACTGCCCAGTTCTTGGGTTGAGGGCTGTGGTTGAGTGTTTCATTTGGAACCAGGCACACAGTAAGAGCCCAGGAAGGAAAAACTGGGTGGATGAGTGTACTGGGATGTCCAGTTGTCTCTGAAAATGGATGTTGGCAGAGGTGGTTCCTCATGAATTTCTCCTCAGTCCATCAATGATGAAATGTGACGAGGTTCTTGCTCCTCTGAGACACGTATTACGCTTTAATCAATATCATCCTATTGCCTGCCCCAGCCTCTGGCAACAACTGTTCTACCTCTCTACTTTCGTGAGTTGGATTTTTTTAGATCTCATGTATATATATCACGCAGTATTTGTTTTTCTGTGTCTGGATTATTTCACTTAACCATCATGTTCTCCAGGTTCATCCATGTGACAAATGATGGGATTTCCTCCTTTTAAAGGCTGAATAGTATTCCATTGTGTGTATACATGTATACAAAGTAGACTATATGTATACATATGAATATACACATTATACATTATATGT